ACATTGTCTATGTTTCAGATCACAACATTGTGCATTTCAAATCAGCATTGTGACGTGACATCTCATTATGATGTGATCACCACAGAAAGTCCAGTCTCCATCCACTACCATTGTCTCAAGGCTGAAAACATTTAGCCTTAATTTCAAAGATGTTCATGTCCTAATGCTCGGAGCCTGAATCCACGTTACATGACAAAATATGTGTTTAAGAATCTTGAAGAAGAGAGATTATCTGGGATTATCCGGGGGGCTGATGTGATCACAGGGTTCCAGACATGGAGCCCACCCATCTAAAATAGTATATTAAGGAGGCGGGGGTCAGAGAGGAGATCTGCTGGAGGAGAACATGAGCCAAGATAAGAGAATTGCCTCTGGAAGCTGGAACATTGTGGCAGATTTTTACCTCCACTTTAGAGGTAACACAGGCCTCGCCATCCATTTTAGACTAGATTCTAGGAAAATAAATTTGCATTCTTTTTAAGCCTTTCAATTTGTGGTAATTTGCCACAGAAGAAATAAGAAACTAATACATTTGCCTGTTTTTGTGTATACGTTTATGTGAATGTGTGTTTCATGGTAAGGATCTGTTATCTCTGACTTCATCCTGCCTTGTTCCTGTGAGGCTCAAGTAATCATTTCATTTGTGGTACTTTTACATTTTGTGAATGACTATTCATTAACAACAACAGCAAAACCAACAAGCACACATTTCCAGACATAGGCACAGACGGCAATAGGTTAAATGCACTTCTGTTGTTTATATTTGATTTATTATGCCCTCGAGTTTTGTTACATTATATAGTAGATGGGCTATTTAGAAAACAAAAACACCCACAAAGTATATAATTCTCCACCATAAATCTATACAAGTATATTGGATCTCAGTTATAAAGGGCTCCTGGAAAAGAAAACATCTTTTGAGTCAGAAGACTGTAGTTTGGATTCCACTCACCCCGTTCCAGGCGTCTCTAATCCTTCCAATATCTTGTGGGAAACAAATGACAGTTCTTATGGAAGACAGGAAAAGGCAAAAGACGTGTGACTAGAGAGCTCTCAATCTTACCCCACAGCTGTTCATATTGCATCAGTCTCTTTAATCCCTTAGTTTAAATAGGCACCCTGGCTAAATTTTATTTCCGTATTAAGTCCTATCATTTTATTATCATGTCCTTTGTGAATATATGATATTCTGAATGGCTTTATCCCTTAGCCAGCGCCTACATTTTCAATAAAAGCACCTTCACAGATGTTGTTTGAAGGTACCACATAGGGGAGTCTGGCTAGGGGCCAGCTAGGTAGATTAGGCTTGTTTGCATGTTCCAGAAACACAGTTATTCTTTCCACAGCTTAAAATGAGAGTTCAATTTTATTTACTTTGAATTGGATTCCTTAATCTTGTAGTTTTCCTGGTGGGAAATGCATTAGGAATTCTGAGCAGAGCTCAGGGCTACTTGTTCCTTTTTGGTCTTTCTAAGACCTAGATTAGTAACCTTAAAATCATAGAACTGGAATGAGTAAGGTTTAATTTTTTTTTAAAGATTTATTTATTTACTCATACAGAACTGGGGTACAAGCCAGAGATGCGGTGGGTGAGAGGATTCACCAGAGACAGAGCGGGGAGCAGAACAGGCAGATAGAGGAAGTACACTGCTGAGGGGAGCAGCCTCCGGGGCAGGCAGGGATCAAACTCATGCGGAAGTGGCTTAAGCTTCTCAGTGCAGTGCTTTAACCCGCTGCGCCACCAGGGAGGGCCCAAGGTTTAAAATTTTAAATACCAAAATGCCTATAAAGTTTTAGTGTCAATGCTTATAAAACATTTAAAAATACCAAATAAGAGGGCAGTGATTTAGCAGAAATCAGAGTTCCACACTGCTCCAGACATCAACTTTGTTAACCATCCGGCTTTGTGAAGTGAAAGGACTTTTTGAGAATCTGAGTTTCCTCTGGGAACAATTCCTGGTACTAGTATCTAGTCACTGGAAATTTTCACATTCTCTATCTTTTAGGTATAGAGATTCGTTGCTCAATATACATGTCATAGAATAAAGTAATAAATTGTGGAATTCACTTGATCATTGGGAAGTCTAAAAAATATCTTAAAATTGTTCTCATCTTCTTTGAACTCCTATCTTATCTTTCTGTGGCCTAGAAATATCTTTTTAAGTGAAGTCACTATTTATATGGAGGCCTCTGTGTAGATGTCTGTAATATGAAGGGCCAAATTAAAATGCTCAGCTTATAAGTTAGTCAGGCTTTTGCTTGTGTGAGGTGGATTATGCTTGGGTTAGGCTGACTTCTGGAAAAGGACCACCCAATCTTCACAGTTGACCTAACAAGCTGCTACCTATTCCAGGAGGAAAATTCATTAATACCTTAATGAACGAGAGCTGTTTGCATCGCTTGAGTATGTGTCAGCTATAAAATCTTGCCTAATTTGACTCTTACAGAGCCAATCTGATTCCATGAATAATTTGACAAAAAGCTGGAGGCAGTTGGCATTAAAACAGGTGTCAGTGTGTACCCACCCCCACGTTCAATGCCATTTTGTGTAGCGGTGTTCTGTTCTGTTAACAGATGTTATGATTTACTCCAGACAGCTTGCATTTCATGGGGAAGTGAAGTAGGCGGTTGTCTCATTCACTTAGGTTTCAATGGTCCAATCAATGGACTGAATGTGTGTGGTCTTTAAATTCTGCTCTTATTTTTCACATTTACTGGAAAGATACACTTTAGAATTCCCACACCTTATCATTGTCTCTTCCATTCTCTGTTCTTAATATTTATAGATGAATGATGCTAAATCACACTTGAAGGAGATAATTACTCAGCATGCAAAGATGTTCACATATTATTTTTCTGGAAAATGTTTCTTTCTATTGAGCTAACATCTTATCATTCAGAAGTTTGGTTTCACATTCAGTAAAAGCTCTGGGATGTTAAGTCACTTTAATGTTCCTAAACAGTTGCAGATGGATAGTTAAACTGTGTATTTGTGTATTGCGGCTGATAGGATACTAATCCATAAGAGGCAGAATCCCAAAATTTCGGTTTCCACTTCCACAGGATCACTATCCATGGGGTAGGTCATAAACATGGGATCAGTAGGTGGGTCAATGAATGGACAGACATATCCAGACACCCAGACAAATGTTCACTCAAGATACCCATTGATAGAGACTGTCTACACTCCACTCTCTGTCACAGGATTATATAGAAAGTAAAAACATGTCAGATGCCTTCAGTGAGCTCCTGCTTTGCATGTGCTTTAGGATAAGTAAATGCTGCTCTAGTCTTCACTAAATGTTCCTGCATTGCTTTTGTTTCCAGTGAGATTCTTTGTGCTATATGTATTGTCTTTTTTTTTTTTCACTTTCCAGTGTCTTAGAACAAGTGAATATTCTTCATGATGCTTCTCTAATGCTTGTTGGTTATAAATATATATTTTTTTGTACTTTTTAACTAACGTGGTGGAATGAGGCATGAGAAATCAACCCTTTTTTCTTTTGTTTCTTCTTTAAATAACCTTTCTGCATTTCTCTTACTCTTTAATTCATATAAATGACATTTCATTTCTCCCCTTACTTCTCCCAATTCAGAAGTGATCATGTGTGGTAGGGAATTTTTTTAACTATGACATCACAATAAGGGACAGGTATTCTTAGTCATTTTTTTCTGTTCAAAATGATAAAATGTGTGAATTACTGAAAGTGAGGATTATGGCTACTTTACAAACTTACATAAATGAAAGCATGTACATAAAAGTTTATGTGCAGACATTTTATACTAAATTTGTTACAGCAAAAGTAAAGAAATTTAAAATGTTACCTATTTCTTCAGATTAATTTTCTTCACAATGTTTTATCTCTACTCTATAAATGTAAATGGAAATGATGATTTCTTTCTTGACTGTTTGATAAATTTTCTGAGGAAAGGGAAAATGTATTAGAATAACCAAGGGCTTTTGGAATTGTTAATAGTCCAGACAATGTTATTTTCAGTCCATCTTAACTAATATTTGTTGCTGAAGATTTGATATATTAAAGCTTTTAAGGAATTTTTACTTTAAGAAATTGCTAATACCCACACATGAAAATTACAATGTTTTTTAAATGACAAAACATGCTAAACTTTCCCAACTCATATATTAAAATAAGTATACCATCTATCTGGAAAGTATATTGAAAATAATCTAAAGTCATATTAATGTTCTCTAATAATAATTGTTGTGAGATGTTTAAATAGAAATTCATAGTGAACGTTCCATTTATTGTATTAAGATCTACTGAATTTAATTATTGTGACAGTAAGTTACTTTATACAATTTTCTTCTTAGTTTAAATGCCCAAATAGAATGATTTTCTGTCAATGATTTTCAAAACCAAAGAAATATTATTGGTTGAAGTATTTTGATTCTTGGGCCCTCCCTGGTGGCACAAGGGTTAAAGCACAACAGCACTATGAAGCTACTGCAGCATGAGTTCGATCCCCAGCCAGGGAGCTGACCCACGTGGTACAACAGACCTCTCCTGACCCGCCACTGCTCCCTTCAGCAGTGTATTTTAGTGCATCTGCCTGTTCTGTACTCCCTTCTGTCTCCAGTGAATCCTCTCACCCTCCACACGTCTGGCCTGTACTCCAGTTCTATATGTATAAATACATAAATTTTTAAAAAGAAAATATTTGGGTTCAGATACTTTCTGAATAAATTTAGAATAAATTCAGAATAAAGTATTTTGTTATTATAATCTGTTTACATTCTTGAGTATACTTAATTGCAATGGTAGAATGAGTTGCAGTATCAAATAGAATTTCATATGAATTTAATACATTGTTATCCTCAATATGTTGTCCCACAGATTTTACACTGTACTAATTTCACCCCCTTTCAATAATTTGTTATATGGATCAGCTCTTTTGTATGGTTGAAGCATATTTATTGAACTGTACTTCTGCTCAAAAATGACTTGTGCTTTTTTTTCTTTGTTCTTTTTTCATAATAGACCTTTAGTGAGTTTGAGATTGAGCAGCATCAAGAATGTGCTTACGATCACTTGGAAGTTTTTGATGGAGAGACAGAAAAATCACCAATTCTTGGACGACTGTGTGGCAACAGAATACCCGAGCCTCTTGTGGCCACTGGAAATAAAATGTTTGTTCGGTTTGTCTCTGATGCCTCTGTACAAAGAAAAGGCTTTCAAGCCACGCATTCTACAGGTCAGTATGTTAGGATCATGCTTTTCTTTTCTGACAGAGACTGAGGTTTCTCTTCCAGTGAATGGAGCGTATCCTATAACAAGAGTACTAAATGCAGAAGAAATCTCACTGAAGTTCTGTGTGAAATAAATCTCTCTGTAGTTGCTGAATAGCTAGAAATAAACCCAATAATTTGGTCTGATTTGTGTTGGTGCCATTATGACTGAGCAGAATTCTCTGAATCTTTGTAAAATATATTTTATCTTATCTCTAGCAGTTTGATTTATACTTTACCAGATAGAAATTTATAACTTGCTACTCAAAAATAATGTTGAACCTAGTAGATTAACTGGTTGGCCTGTTTTTGAATTAATGTTATATTGTACAACTAGAATTTGGATATATCTGTTTTACAAAGCATAATTTATTTTTCCACGCAATCTGATCTTTTCCCTAATCCTAATTTACACATTTCAACTGCTCTATATTTTTGAGGAAAAAAAAATAAGAAAAATGTAGAAATTTGTAGCCAAAAAAGTAGTTTCTTTCATAATTTGAAGAAATAATAATCTCTTCCATAAATGTTCTTTAATCTTTTGGTTAAAATTGGTTAACTGTAGACATTTGTTAAAGTCATTTAGCTTACAGTGACATCTAGTGGCAATCTCTGAGCGTAAACCTTTGAGACACTTCGGGGAGAAATTTAGGTTAGGTGTGAAAGTGTTAGTAGTCTACAAGTTTGTCCACGAAACAGTTTCAACCCAGTAATTTTTGTCATGGCTTCATACCAATTATTTTTGTATTGTTTGTCTAGTTTTATAATGAAAATTTTATTTAATCCATTGTCCAATGTTATGGGGTTTTTTTTTAGTATATTTTTGAGTACTGAATTTTTAATGAAGAATGTGGAAATTGAATATTGTTAGGATATTGATCTGTTTCATTTTAGTAATTGTTGGATTCCTCAATATCATGTGATTAAAATATGTCATTTGGCAAAAGAAAAGTATTTCATGAACTAGAAATTTCACTGAAATAAAAATTTTCCATATACTTGACATTACTTTTTAAGTGTTTTCCAGGTAATTTTTATGTATTGTAGGGTTAAAGAAACCTAAAATTATACTGCTTTATCAAAATTTTTCTGATAGCCTCAATTTTGTTTCATATCTTTAAAAGGATCTTGGCTTCTGCAAGTTCTAAGAATTCAGTGAGAAATATGCTGTCAAAATTCGAAATAACTGATGACATGGTATTTTTAAATTATCAAAGTATAAATTCTTCTTTTCTCTCTTAGCATATACTTAGCTTTCTAATTTTTCTTTGTGCCCTTTGTAAGTAGAAGGATTGAAATTTTATTGTGTTCCAGATGTTGGTAGCTGCATTGGGGTTTTGATTCAACTGCCATTACCTAGCTGGACATTTTGGAAAAGATCATTTCTTGGGATCTCAGTTTTCTTATGTGTAAAATAATCTCAAGTTTTCTGATAGCTGTAAATCTCTGTGATGCCTTAATTTTCATGGCCTCTGACATGGACTCTACTTTGGTGCTTAATAATGCACTGGTAGATTCTAAGTATAATAGACATCATGTATGGAAATCTATTGGTATGTAACGCATGTCTGTGTTCGCTTAAGCATATGTGTATCTGTCTGTCTATCCATCCATCCGTCCATCCATCCATCCATCCACCCATCTGGTTTACATACACTCGTACTTCAGATCCTCAAAATAACTATTTGATACTATCTCTTTACTCTTCAGATGAAGAAATTGAAAATCTGGAGAGTTCATTAATTTGCAAAAATTTCTAAAATGATGGTAAAGCCTGTATTTTTGCCCAATCTTGTCTTCAAAACTCATGTACTGTGATATTTTTTCTCTTAATATAAATTTTGGATTAGAAAGAAAGCTAATACAAAACTGGAGTATTATTATTTGAAGCAAATTCCATTATCTAAGTTGTAAACAAATCCTCTGTTGAAAGATGTCATTGATTAGGCTTATTTTATTTCCCTGTTCTTATCTGTTCAAATGCCCATGTGAACCACCACAATCACATTTGGTTGGGCAAAACATGCCTTGATGCTATTTAATCCAATTCTGTCATCTCAGAAATGAGGATTATGAGACTGAAGCTTAAATGACAATCTAAGCAACGAAATTTATCAGATGGAATTGGAGCCTCGGCCTCTTCTACTCACTAACCTTTACCAAAAGTATAGATGGTGGCGTTCACCTATTTGATTTTTCATTTTGTTCGTGTATGAATTTTTACTCTTTCTAGCCTAGTTCTCTTGGAATGTTCTGAGTAGATTTATTTTATACTGCTATTATCAAGAACCTATAAAATTCATATATACTACCTACTATATTTCTTTTCAAAGTTTGATTTTAATACAAATCTCTAATCATCTTTTGCTTGATGCTTATTTAGCATTTGCTTTGAATAGACACTGCCAGGTATTTGTAATTTATAGGGAAGCAATGGAAATTTGGGGAAACTTGTAGGGATATGGCAGCAATTTCGGCCTGTGGGTGGTTTATAATCTGATTAATCAGATTATATTATAAACTGATTTTCAGAAGTTTCTGAACTTGATTTTCAGTTAGTTTCTACTGACAAGACAACCTCACTCAATACCACATCTGCCCACTTTTGTTACTTTTATAAAACATTCTGTTCATTATTAACTACCTTTCTAAAATACATTTAACTTTGAAGAGTTGCAAAGTATACATATTAAATTGCTTGAGTAAATTTATACTTCTGAATATTAGCTTTCTCCACAAGGAAATATTATAACACCATGAATTTTGAAGCCAAATGATTAGAAAGTGTTCTAATACGCTCTTCAATAAGTGGTATTTCCCAAATTTTTAGGAAATGGACATTATTAGAAAGGTAATGGTATTATTCTTTCTTTAAAGAAACTTATTGAAGGAAATAGATCTTCCAATTAAAAAATTACCCTGTATATGCTCACACAAAATATATTCATAATACAAAAGATATTGTAAATATGGAGAGAAAATAATGTTTTTAAAGTGGCATTGTCGGCTAGGTAAGACTTGTTTCTATAGCATAAGACATTATACTTATTTGTCAATGACATTTAAAAATCAAATAATGCATTATTAAACTCCCTAGGAAGGAAATTATTTTTATCTAACACAATTAAATTAGAATGCCCTCCAAACGCATTTATAGGTCAAATTGTAGAACCTCTCTGGGAATTTAATACTTTACCAGGAAATAAACAAACATGTCCTTCCAAATTAAAATGAAGGCTCCCCCAGGCTTCCCTTCCCCTGTTACCTTTCTTATTCAACTTCATTTTCCATTTCTCAGAATCTGTAGAGGACACGCTGGCAGTTTGGGGAGTATTTTCAAACAATTTATTTAAAAGCAGTGTTGTTGCTACACTAAATGACTGCTTTTATATTTTTCTGGCCCAGTAAATAAGTAGGAATATTTGCAGGAATTGTTTTCACTCTATTAAAAATGTTTTTCAAAGGGACTGCCTTAAATGATATATGGACCATATTTTGAAAAACAGTCATAAGAATTCTTAAAAACCCTGTAAGCAATTGTCTTTATGCTGCCTGTTATTTTCTGCTCCTGGAATTTTCCCCAGGGCATATTAAGATCACAGCTCTTGTGCATATAGTACTCAAACATTCATGCTTAAAAAAATGTATCCTGCAGACTAAATTCTGTTTGGTTTCATGATTAGGACTATTCCAGATTTATTAGTTTGAGCAGTGATCTATAGAAATGTACTAGAATAGATATACACAAACAGGGGACTTACTGAAACATTTTAGGGCAGCCTCAAGTGGACTTGTAATTGTTTGTAGGCACCAAATTTGTAGAAGTTTTCAAAAAATCAAATTGTGATTTCTCACTGTCATTTTCAGATTCACAAAAGCTTTGTGAAATCTCTTTTCCCATATTATTTGACTTCTTCATTTCCTCCTTGATTTTTGTTCCAAGCTGTGGCTGGCAATGTCTTCTCTGGATCCTGTCTTTGTTTTGCTACTTTCTTTCTGCTAAGCAATGAGGAGAAGCCAGTTCCTTCTCATCTCACAGTCCTGCCTTTCAGCACTTTGTGGTTTGTGGAATAAAAGTAAGCACAGCACTAACAGATCTTTAAAAGCTGAAAACAATACAAGTCTGAATTTAGAGTACAGTTTAGAATTAAAAAAAAAATGTGTAAATGAGATATACTGCTTTATATATAGAACTCAGAAATATTTTCCACAAAATAGTTCCCTGGTTT